ACATGCGTACTCGCGTACACGCGTACACGCGTACACGCGTACACGCGTACTCGCGTACACACGTACACGCGTACACGCGTACTCGCGTACACGCGTACACGCGTACTCGCGTACTCGCGTACACACGTACACACGCACACACGCACACGCGTACACGCTACACGCGTACACGCGCACACGCGTACTCGCGTACACGCGTACACGCGTACTCGCGTACTCGCGTACACACGTACACGCGCACACGCGTACTCGCGTACACGCGTACACGCGTACACGCGTACTCGCGTACACACGTACACGCACACACCACACGCGTACACGCGACACACGTACACACGCACACACGCACACACGTACACACGTACACACGTACACGCGTACTCGCGTACTCGCGTTCACACGTACACGCGCACACGCGTACACGCGTACACGCGTACACGCGTACACCGTACTCGCGTACACACGTACACGCGCACACGCGCACACGCGTACACGCGTACACGCGCACACGCGTACACGCTACGCGTACACGCGTACACACGCACACGCGCACACGCGCACACGCGTACATGCGTACTCGCGTACACACGTACACACGCACACACGCACACGCGTACACGCGTACACACGTACACACGCACACGCGTACTCGCGTACACACGTACACGCGTACTCGCGTACTCGCGTACACACGTACACGCGCACACGCGTACTCGCGTACACGCGTACACGCGTACACGCGTACACGCGTACTCGCGTACACGCGTACACACCACACACGCACACACGTACACACCACACACGTACACGCGTACTCGCGTACTCGCGTACACGCATACACGCGCACACGCGCACACGCGTACACGCGTACACGCGTACACGCGTACTCGCGTACACGCGTACACGCGCACACGCGCACACGCGCACACGCGTACACGCGTACACGCGTACTCGCGTACACGCTACACGCGCACACGCGCACACGCGTACACGCGTACACACGTACACACGTACACGCGTACTCGCGTACTCGCGTACACACGTACACACGCAACGCGCACACGCGCACACGCGTACACGCGTACTCGCGTACACACGACACACTCACACACGCACACACGCACACATACGCGCACACGCGTACACGCGTACACGCGTACACGCGTACACGCGTACACACGCACACACGCACACACGCACACACGCACACACGCACACGCGTACACACGTACACGCGTACACGCGCACACGCGTACACGCGTACTCGCGTACACACGTACACACGCACACACGCACACACGTACACACGCACACGCGTACACGCGTACACGCGTACACACGCACACGCTACTCGCGTACACACGTACACACGCACACACGCACACGCGTACACGCGTACACACGCACACGCGCACACGCGTACACGCGTACACCGCGCACACGCGTACACACGTACACACGTACACTGCGTACACGCGCACAACGCGCACAAGTACCACACACGTACACCTGCACACGCGCACACACGCACACACGCTCACACCGCACAAACGAACGCACACACGCACAACGACGTTACACACGCACACACGCACACCACGCACACACGCCGACACGCAAACACGCACACACGCACCACACACACACACACTCCACACGCCACACGCACACAGTACACACGTAACACACGTACGATACGCGTAACCCGCAGGGTGCAGTGGATGAAGCGGTGAGAGTTCGCTGGCCACGAGGGGCAAGGGCCTCCTCCGCTTCGGGAGAGGCTGTGACGAGCGGCAGGCTGCGCATGATGCAGCGCAGCGAACGACTCGGTGCAGGCCATCACTCTGAACCCCGCGGAGAAGGGTGACTCGGACTTCTACGTCTGCGTGGTGACCTTCGAAAAAACAAGACAGCAACGCGCCACCTCTACCTGCACGTGGCGGACGGTGAGAGCGGCGTGTGCATAGGTGCGCCTGTGCCAGGCAGGTGCACGTTGGGCCAGGTAGGCGTGGCGTGTTCTCCCCGTGGTCACGTGGATTTTTCTCCGGTCCTCCAGGTTTTTCCCTCCACATTTAGAATCGACATCGCGCGTTTAGAGGCATTTGCCTGCTATAATAAATTCTAGATTTGAAACTTCGTGACTGCAAGGATTCATATTCTTGGGTTTTTTCGGTAAAGTCACGTGGGTAAAAAATTAAAATTTTAATTAATAAAAGTAAAATAAAAACAAAATAAAAATCACGACGTTTCGGAGGCAACACAAGCTTCCGTCTTCAGGTGGAACCATCACAGCACGCTCGCTGTATCAAGTAAATGAGAAATTCCAAGAGATCCGACCCCGTATTTATATACTGGTTAAGGAGGGCAGAGGGGCTTTACCCGAAAAAAACCCAAGAATATGCTACAATAAATGTCCGCACGGTGATTTCAGCCTCTTCGTCGAGTTATCATTTGTAGCTTCAGAGAAAAAAGAGCTGTATAGCTCTGTGGGCCTTACATTGTAAAATTAATAAAATTGTTAGTTTCAATTCCTCTTCCTCACACTCTCCCCCCCTCTGCCTCCATCTCCTCCAAACTCCCTCTTTGTCGCACAGACGAATGCTTCTCTGGCTCCAACGACATGGCCATTGTGGACGACTTGGAGGTCACGCAGCCCTCGCAGCTGCTGAATTGTCGACTTCCGCCAGCCGTGTGCCCGTTGTTTAATGTCAGCTGGTACCAGCGGGACAAACTCCTCTTCAACCTTACGGCTTCTACTGGAAAAGAAGTCGTGAATGGCTTCGAAGCCTGGCCTCTGTCGAGCCGATTCTCGACCATAATGGTTCACAACAAGAAGATGATCGACGCGGGTTTATTCTATTGGTGCCAGGTGCACACGCGCGCTGGTCTGGACTCCCGTTCCATGGTCGCTACGCTGTCTCCAGGTTCGATGACCATCGTCTTAGCATCATCACCATCGTCATCATCGTCGTCATCACCATCGTCATCATCGTCATCATCATCGTCATCATCATCGTCATCACCGTCGTCATCATCGTCATCATCATCGTCATCATCACCATCGTCATCATAATCGTCATCACTTTCATCGTCATCATCGTCATCACCATCGTCATCATCATCACCATCGTCATCATAATCGTCATCATCATCGTCATCATCGTCATCACCATCGTCATCATCATCGTCATCACCATCATCATCACCATCATCATCATCGTCATCATCATCATCATCATCGTCATCACCATCATCATCACCATCGTCATCATCATCGTCATCACCATCGTCATCACCATCATCATCATCATCGTCATCACCATCGTCATCATCATCTCCATCACCATCGTCATCGTCACCATCATCACCATCATCAGCATCGTGATCATTGTTGTAGCATCATCATCGTACCGTATTACCACCATTACCACCATATGCCATTCATTACAATGTGTGCAGTGTGTGTAGGTTGCACCCTCTCCAACTCTATCCATTATAGTAATCCTATAGTATTGTATCCTATATTAATGCTATTGAATTGTACCCTATATATTACCCATGTAATTATAATCCCATGAACAGGCGTATACCGATTGGATGTTCATCCTCCTCCCTTCTGCTCTTCACTCTCCGCTCCACCCCCTCCACCAACCCCACCCACCCCCTCTCACCCCCCCATCACCCCCTCATCACCCCCACCCACCCCCCATATTTCACACACCCCCCTCTCACCCCCCATCACCCCCACTCATCCCCTCACATTCACCACACCCCCCCATCACCCCCCACATCACCCCCACCCATCCCCTCCCATCCACCACCCCCCCCCATCACCCCCCCCAGCACCCCCACCCATCCCCTCCCATCCACCACCCCCCCCATCACCCACCCGACACCCCACCCACCCCTCTCATCCACCACCCCCCTCCTTCCATCACCCCCACCCATCCCCCCTCATCCCCCCCTCCCATCACCCCCACACATCCCCTCTCATCCACCCCCCCCCCTTCCATCACCCCCCACCCATCCCCCCTCAGCCCCCCCCCATCACCCCACACTCCCCTCTCATCCACCCCCCCCATCACCCCCCCCATCCCCTCTCATCCACCACACACCCCCTCCATCACCTCTCATTCACCACCCCCCATCACCCCCACCCATCCCTCTCAGTCCACCCACCCCCCATCACCCCCACCATCCCCTCTCATCACAACCCCCCTCCATCACCACCCCACCCATCCCCTCTCATCCACCCACCCCACCCCACCCCCCCATCACCCCCACCCATCCCCTCTCATCCACCACCCCCCCCCCATCACCCCCACCCATCCCCTCTCATCCACCACCCCCCCCCCATCACCCCCACCCATCCCCTCTCATCCACCCACCCCCCCCCCCATCACCCCATCCCATCCCTCTCATCCACAACCCCCCCCATCACCCCCACCCATCCCCTCATCATCCACCCCCCCCCCATCACCCCCACCCATCCCCTCTCATCCACAACCCCCCCCATCACCCCCCACCCATCCCCTCTCATCCACCCCCCCCCAGCACCCCCACCCATCCCCTCTCATCCACCCCCCCTCACCCCCATCACCCCCACCCGCCCCTCTCATCCGACCCCCCCCCCATCACCCCCACCCATCCCCTCTCATCCACCCCCCCCCCCCATCACCCCCCCCCAGACCCTCTCATACACAACCCCCCCAATCACCCCCACCCATCCCTCTCATCCACCCCCCCCCCATCACCCCCACCCATCCCCTCTCATCCACCCCCCCCCATCACCCCCACCCATCCCCTCGCATCCACCCCCCCCCCATCACCCCCACCATCCCCTCTCATCCACCCCCCCCCTCACCCCCCCCATCCCTCTCATCCACCCCCCCCCCATCACCCCCCCCATACCCCTCTCATCCACCCACCCCCCCCATCAACCCCCCCATCCCCTCTCATCCACCCCCCCCCATCACCCCCCCCATCCCCTCTCATCCACCACCCCCCCCAGCAACCCCACCCATCCCCTCTCATCCACCACCCCCCCCCCATCACCCACCCATCCCTCTCATCCCCCCCCCCCCCTCACCCCTCCTCCACCATGCCCCTCTCATCCACACCCCCACCTCCATCACCCCCACCCATCCCTCTCATCACACCCCCCTCCATCACCCCCACCCATCCCCTCTCATCCACCACCCCCCCCATCACCCCCACCCATCCCCTCTCATCCACAACCCCCCCATCACCCCCACCCATCCCCTCTCATCACACACCCCCCCCATCAACCCCCACCCATCCCCTCTCATCCACAACCCCCCCTCCATCACCCCCACCCATCCCCTCTCATCCACCACCCCCCCCCCATCACCCCACCCATCCCCTCTCATCCACCACCCCCCCCCATCACCCCCACCCATCCCCTCTCATCCACCACCCCCCCCCCATCACCCCCAACCCATACCCATCTCATCCACCACCCCCCCCATCACCCCCACCCATCACCTCTCATCCACCACCCCCCCCCATCACCCCCACCCATCCCCTCTCATCCACCAACCCCCCCCATCACCCCCCACCCATCCCCTCTCAGCCACCCCCCCCCCCATCACCCCCCCATCCCCTCTCATCCACCACCCCCCCCATCACCCCCACCCATCCCCTCTCATCCACCACCCCCCCGCTCCATCACCCCCACCCATCACCCATCTCATCCACTCAACCCCCCCATCACCCCACCCATCCCCTCTCATCCACCCCCCCCCCATCACCCCCACCCTCCCCTCTCATCCACAACCCCCCCCTCCATCACCCCCCACCCATCCCCTCTCATCACAACCACCCCCCCCATCACCCCCACCCTCCCCTCTCATCCACCACCCCCCCCATCACCCCCACCCATCCCCTCTCATCCACACCCCCCCATCACCCCCACCACATCCCCTCTCATCCACCCCCCCCCCATCACCCCCACCCATCCCCTCTCATCCACAACCCCCCTCCATCACCCCCACACCATCCCCTCTCAGCCACCACCCCCACTCCATCACCCCCACCCATCCCCTCTCATCCACCACCCCCCCCCATCACCCCCACCCATCCCCTCTCATCCACCACCCCCCCCCCATCAACCCCCACCCATCCCCTCTCATCCCACCACCCCCCCCATCACCCCCCACCATCCCTCTCATCCACCACCCCCCCCCATCACCCCCACCCATCCCCTCTCATTCACCCACCCCCCCCCATCACCCCCACCATACCCTCTCATCCACCACCCCCCCCATCACCCCCCCCATCCCCTCTCATCCACCACCCCCCCCATCACCCCCACCCATCCCCTCTCATCCACCAACCCCCCTCCATCACCCCCACCCATCCCCTCTCATCCAACCCCCCCCCATCACCCCCACCCATCCCCTCTCTCCACCCCCCCCCATCACCCCACCCATCCCCTCTCATCCACCCCCCCCCCATCACCCCACCCATCCCCTCTCATCCACCACCCCCCCATCACCCCCACCACATCCCCTCTCATCCACCACCCCCCCCCATCACCCCCACCCATCCCCTCTCATCCACCCACCCCCCCCGCCATCACTCCACCCACCCCATCCCCTACTCATCCCACCACCCCCCCTCCATCAACCACCCACCCAGCCCCTCTCATCCACCCCCCCCCATCACCCCACCATCCCCATCTCAATCCACCACCCCCCCCCCATGAACCCCCACCCATCCCCTCTGCATCCACCACCCCCCACCCCATCACCCCCACCGACATACCTCCTCATCCACCACACCCCCCCATCAACCCCCACCCATCCCCTCGCCAACCCACCCCCTCATCAACCCCACCCATCCACTCTCATCCACCAGCCCACCCCCATCATCACCCCCACCATCCTCTCGCATCCACCACCACCCCCCATCACCCCCACCCATCCCTCTCCAGCCACCACCCCCCCCCATCACCCCCACGCCATCCCCTTCTCATCCACCACCCCCCCCATCACCCCCCACCATCCTCTCTCATCCACCACCCCCCCCCCATCACCCCCCCACCCAGCCCTCTCATCCACCACCCCCCTCCATCACCCCCCACCCATCCCCTCTCATCCACCACCCCCCCCCATCACCCCACCCTCCCCTCTCAGCCCCCACCCCCCCCCCATCACCCCCACCATCCCCTCTCATCCACCACCCCCCATCACCCCCACCCATCCCCTCTCATCCACACCCCCCCCCATCACCCCCACCCATCCCCTCTCATCCACCACCCCCCCCCCATCACCCCACCCATCCACTCTCATCCACCACCCCCCCCATCACCCCCACCCATCCCCTCTCATCCACCCCCCCCCTCCATCACCCCCACCATCCCCTCTCATCCATCACCCCCCTCCATCACCCCCACCCATCCCCTCTCATCCACCACCCCCCTCCATCACCCCCCACCCATCCCCTCTCATCCACCCCCCCCCCCATCACCCCCCCATCCCTCTCATCCCCCACCCCCTTCCATCACCCCCACCCATCCCCTCTCATCCACCACCCCCCCTCCATCACCCCACCCATCCCCTCTCATCCACCACCCCCCCCCATCACCCCCACCCATCCCCCCACCCCGCTAGGCCCAGCCTTGGACACCTCGTGCCGAGCTGACGTCAAAGTCAATGATAGCAGCGTGTCGAAGGGCGACTCGGCCTCCCTGCAGTGCCGAGCGAGTCTGCCTGAGTCGTGCCTCGTCTACAGTCTCACCTCCAGTATCACGTGGTTCTGGGAGACGGAGCTGCTGATGACCATGGACGAGCAAGGCACACGGCGCGGTGCAGGGCCGCGGGCAGGTGGGCGGGCGGGCGGGCGGGCAGGTGGCCGCGTGCGCACACACGAGGCCATCGTCATCATCATCGGCACGCGGTCATCATCATGATCATCAGCGTGAGTTCATCACGATCACCACGAGGTCATGATCATCAACACGAGGTCATCACCACCATCATCGTCTTCACGAGATCGTCAGCACGAGGTCATCATCATTCATCCAGCGGTTGATAGATGGTGGGTGCTGCTGCTGTTTCTGATGATGATGACGCTGATGATGATGCCCATGAGTAAAGATGGGCATAGACAACCTTGAGCCTACAGGTGAGCGTTTTGATCATGATTACGTGGTCACCATCGTGACCATCATCGCCACTCATTGTCTATAAACTAGTTTAATTTGCCAGGTAAGACCCACTGAGCTATGTAGCTATTTTTCAGAAGCGACCTGCCCACGAATGATGGCTTAACAAAGTTGCTTAACACATTCCTGCGGAGGGAGCTGGTAGGAACGTTGGGTTGCTCGGTCAATGGCCTGAAGGGTCAACGGCGGCGTGGTGTATTCCGCAAATATGCCCGACTGTGAGGGCGGGCACAAGCCGGCGTGAGTCGGTTAAACGTTGAGTTTTATAAGGGCACCACGGGGTGAACAGCCCCTCCCCTCCCACCCCCCCACCCTCCCACCCCTCACGCAGCCCCACCCTCCCCACCCAGCCCCTCCCCACCCTTCCCTCCCCACCCAGCCCCTCCTCACCCTCCCCACCCAGCCCCTCCCCACCCTCCCCTCTCCACCCAGCCCCACCCCTCCCATTGTTGGATGCACGACGGACGGACAGAATAATCCCCTGTGGGCTGGTGTAACCAAGAGGTTCCTACCAGTATGAAGTAAACTCTTGAGAAGGGGATTCATTTGATTTGTGGCCGAGCGAGATTGGAGAGGAGAGAGGTCGGAGCAGAGAGGAAAGAGAGACGCTACCGGCGAGCTCCCCTTGACGGGGTTGTCGACTGGAGGTCTCACGGGAGACTCGGTTGATGCTTCTGTTTGGATATCCGTGCAGACGTTCAGCGTTGGTTGGGGGGGGTGGTGTACCGTAGTGCATGGGGCGCCGCGGATGGCGAGATATAATCTCCGATTAGAACGGTTGGCTACGTACGGTGCGAAAGAAGTTCAACGCACAGTACATCACCTGCTCCTGGTGTGCAGGAGGTCGTGGGTGGGTCGTGACACTCACAACGGAGTTCCTCTCCACGTTGATAATATAATCAACGTCACGCGTTTAGATTATTCTGCTGCCGCTGCCGCTATACATCTCCACACGGTGGCGAGACACTTCGTCGAGCATTCATTTGTGGCCAGGGCGTGTCGGAAAAAGAAGCTTATTGCTCAGTGGCCCTTACCTGGTAAATACAAAAAAAACTTGTTATTTAGTTTTAGCGTCTCGTTTGCAATTTTTGCCTGCGCCGGGTTCCGCTGATGTTCATGCCGTGGACCACGATGGCGCGTGTTTAGCCAGGGCCCAGATGAAGTTCTCGGGCACCAGCTCGGAGCTCCAATTGAGCGGCGTCACGATGGACGATGGAGGAGTCTACCGGTGCCGCGTCGATCTGCACAACGGCAGCTACAGTGACGTGGCCTTCCTCGAAGTTGTGGAGTGTGAGTAGAGGCCTCACTAACACCCTCGACTCTCTCTCTCTCTCGACACTCACTCACATTGACACTCACTCACATTGACACTCACATTGACACCCACTCACTCACATTGACAGTCACATTGACACTAACTCACATTGACACTCACATTGACACCCACTCACTCACATTGACACCCACTCGCACTGCAGAGCAGGAGTGGAAGATGGCAGCCTTCACGTGGTCCACTCTGTGCCGAGTCCCGAGTCCCTCCGTGCGATCGCGCCGCGTGCAGGGCCCGTGGGGACTCCCACGGTGACCGCCGACCCCGACTTCGCCGTGGCCGTGGAGGGGTCCCGGGTCGAGCTGCGGTGCCACGAGCTGAACGGCTCCCTCCCCGTGGAGTTCTCGTGGCTGCGAGCGACTCCCGGGGATGACGAGACGCTGGCGGGTGAGGACTCGGAGACTCTGGCGCTCACGTGGAGCGAGCAGAGCGGCTTCTACCGGTGCCGGGCGAGCAACTGGGTGAAAGGAGTTCGCAAAGACGCGACGAGCGACGCGGTCGAAGTGCGGCTGCTGCGCATGCCGGGTGAGTTGGGCCACGGAGTCACCTCACCTAAGCCTCACCACGCCTCACCTCTAAGCCCCACCACGCCTCACCTCTAAGCATCACCACGCCTCACCATGCCTCACCACGCCTCACCACGCCTCACCACACCTCACCACCCCTCACCACCCCTCACCTCGCCTCACCACGCCTCACCACGCCTCACCACCCCTCACCACCCCTCACCACGCCTCACCACCCCTCACCACCCCTCACCACCCCTCACCACCCCTCACCACGCCTCACCACGCCTCACCACGCCTCACCACGCCTCACCACGCCTCACCACGCCTCACCACGCCTCACCACGCCTCACCACGCCTCACCACGCCTCACCACGCCTCACCACGCCTCTCCACAGTGACACCCTCACCACCCCTCACCACCCCTCACCACCCCTCACCACGCCTCTCCACGCCTCACCACGCCTCTCCACAGTGACACCCTCACCACGCCTCACCACCCCTCACCACGCCTCTCCACAGTGACACCCTCACCACGCCTCACCACGCCTCACCACCCCTCACCACGCCTCTCCACAGTGACACCCTCACCACGCCTCACCACGCCTCACCACCCCTCACCACGCCTCTCCACAGTGACACCCTCACCACGCCTCACCACGCCTCACCACCCCTCACCACGCCTCACCACTCCTCACCACCCCTCACCACCCCTCACCACGCCTCACCACCTTTCACCACGCCTCTCCACAGTGACACCCTCACCACGCCTCACCACGCCTCACCAACGCACACAGCCCAAGCGAGCGCTTACACGCGCTGGGCTCGTCTGCTTTCTCCCGTCGCGAGACGCAGGTCGCTTGCGGGCTGTCGATTCTCTCTGTGATTGCCTTCGCCTGCAGTAGCGTGTCACATCGTGCATCATTGTGTATTTGTTTACATGTTGGTACGATAGTCACCATAGACCTACATTGCACATAGACTTACATTGCCCATAGACTAGCATTGCACATAGACCAAACATTGCCCATAGACTTACATTGCACATAATGTAGACCAACATTGCCCATAGACTAACACTATGAAAATACTGTACGTACTTTATCCATTGCCTTATATTAACCATAGACTTACATTATCCATTTTAATTCGTATATCCTCGTCTGTTTACATGTTAGCACAATAGTTACCTCCTAAGATGAGGGTTGGGTGATAATGATGACGAATGCCAGGTGATGATGGTGATGATGATGGTGGTGATGATAGTGGTGATGTTGGTGGTGATGATGGTGGTAATGATGGTGGTGGTGATGATTATTGGTGATGATGGTGATGATGATGATGGTGGTGATGATGGTGTTGATGATGGTGGTGATGGTGGTGATGATAGTGGTGATGGTGATGCTGATGGTGATGATGGTGGTGATGATAGTGGTGATGATAGTGGTGATGATGGTGATGCTGATGGTGATGTTGGTGGTGATGGTGGTGATGATGGTGATGGTGGTGATGATGTTGATGATGGTGGTGATGATGGTGGTGATGATGGTGATGGTGGTGAGGATGATGGTGGTGATGATGGTGGTGATGATGGTGGTAATGATGGTGGTGATGGTGGTGGTGATGATGGTGGTGATGATGGTGGTGATGATGGTGGTGATGATGGTGGTGATGATGGTAATGATGGTGATGATGATGATGGTGGTGATGATGGTGATGATGGTGATGATGGTGATGATGATAATGATGGTGAGGATGCTGATGGTGATGATAGTGGTGATGATGATGGTGGTGATGATAATGATAGTGGTGATGGTAATGATGGTGATGATGATGATGATGGTGATGATGATGATGGTGGTGATGGTGGTGGTGGTGATGATGGTGATTATGGTGATGATGGTGATGATGGTGGTGATGATGATAGTGGTGATGTTGGTGGTGATGATGGTGATGATGGTGATGATGGTGGTGATGATGGTAATGATGGTGATGATGATGATGGTGATGATGATGGTGGTGATGATGGTGATGATGGTGATGATGATGGTGATGGTAATGATGGTGATGATGATGGTGGTGGTGAGGATGATGATGGTGATGATGATGGTGATGATGATGATGGTGATGATGGTAATGATGGTGATGATGATGATGGTGGTGATGATGGTGATGATGGTGATGATGATGGTGATGATGATGATGGTGATGATGATGGTGATGATGATTGTGATGTGTCCAGGCCAGTTGGGGAAGCTGGCCGGCGCCGTGCTGCCCGCCTACCTGCTCATCGCCGCCTTCGTCGCGGCCCTCGCCGTGCTGGTGATGAGGATTCGCAGCGACCCTTCCTCCGGTACGGGGGGGGAGGCTACTCGCGTTTCGAGGTCACGGTGTCAGATACAATGCTTCGGATTTAGTTTGAAGGCGTCGGTTGTGATTCACCTCGGGGCCCTGCAGCGCGTCCCCGACCCCCCCCCCCCCCCCGCTAGGGACGGCCCTGGCATGCGTGGTCCCCAAATAAATGACTGCACCATCACAAAAAGGGAACCAACCCCATGACATTAAATTTTGGTGAAAATTACCAGCTCTGAGAATATAAAGGGCCGGTTTGAACGGAATACAGCGAGCGCTACTTTCAGTGGCTGGTCCTGTGTGGAAGAGAGAGAACGGCCTGCCCCCCTTGATCTGTGAATCGGTGTGTCGCTTGATGAAAAAGAGGACGAATGGATCTTCGGAGGTAGTTCTGTGATATCCACTTCCGTGGCCACGATTGTGTTGCGAGATTTCCGAATTGATTTTCCGTCCCGTCACGAAGACGCCGCGATGCTGGTGCCGAGCAAATGCAATGATACTGGTAGGAACCACCTGGTTCCACCAGCCCACAAGGGATTATTGCGTCCGTCCGTCGTGCATCAAAAAATGGGAGGGGTGGGGCTGGGTGGAGAGGGGAGGGTGGGGAGGGGCTGGGTGGGGAGGGTGGGGAGGGGCTGGGTGGGGAGGGTGGGGCTGGGTGGGGAGGGGCTGGTCACCCCGTGGTGCCCTTATAAAACTCAACGTTTAACCTACTCACGCCGGCTTGTACCCGCCCTCACAGTCTGCCATATAACCGGAATACACCACACCGCCGTTGACCCTGGCCATTGACCGAGCAACCCAACGTTCCTACCAGCTCCCTCCGCAGGAATGTGTTTTAAAGTGACCGTTTTTCTCTTTGCAGTGGTGGGCTTCACGAAGATTGTGCAGAATGCATAGTGAGTCCCGCATCTTTCTCCTTTAGTTTTGTCTTTACGACGGACGAGTTTTCCCAAGATATTTTTGCGTTTTTTTTTTACTTGCTGGCTGGTTTCCTGGTGGCTTGGCCACACACAAACACACGACCTTCGCCATGGGAGTGCGCATCATCTCAGCAGCATTGGTCAACGCAAATCACAACCATGGCACGGTTGCGACATTCAGTATCTCATCAGTCAGCAACGGTCACGCATGACTTGAAACAATGCTGATGAATTGCCAGTTTTTGTTTTTATAGGCAAATACCCTCTTAGGTATGGGCCCTAATTCGATGCAAAACCATGGATATACAACGCGGAATAATCATCGGCGTTGTGGACAATACACTTTATCAGTATCATTATTGTAAGATTTTACCATGTAGCTGCTCACCCCGAGCTCTCTGATAGTGCATTGTCTTTGAGCTGTAGTACGCCTTTGGCGTCCTCTGGTCTAACACCGTTTTGAGACTAGGCTCCAAAGAAAGCTGTCTCTGATGTGGACCAATCAGTTTCAAAGACAATGCATTTATGTGTTACACATAGACATGACATTAACTTGCTAATCCCCCTAATCTCCCTGCTTAATCTCTCCCATCAACATAGTGCTGATCTCCCATTAACACTGCTCTTGTGCGCATACTCTTATGCGGCGACAGAAGGTCATTTCATGCTAATCTCTCTCTCCCTAATCTCCCCCATTAACACAACTGACGTGCTTGCATCCGGGGATGGAATTCCTTTCCAGCTCAGACCCCGCTTTGCTTGCCCATCGCCACGTAAATAACCTCTTGTTGTTGTAACAGCTCTCTCGCTGGTTCAGCAGTTCCACTGCTGGATTTATTTTTTCCGCCTGAGGACGACTGCTATTGTGTTGCGATCGAAACGTCGTGAAAATCAAATGTAGCTTTATTTATTTATTTTTACCTACGTGACTTTACCGAACGAACCAAAGAATAAGGTTACAAAACCCTGAACGATCCGGAGTCGGTCCCATCGGTGAGCTTCTCTGGTAGGCAAGGCTGCGTTGACTGGGCCACGTAGCCTGCATGCCCAGCCCCCCCCCCCCCCCCATGCCCAAGCAGCTTCTGTTTGGCCGGGTAGAGGGGGCAAAAAGGGCATGACACGGGCTGGAAAAAAGATAGACTGATGCGGTACAGGAGGAGATCGTGCTGAGTGGACTTGCCGACAACTGGTACCAGTGGTGTCAAGATCAGCCTCTTTGGAGGAAACTCGTGAAGGACGCTGCCACTCGGCAGTTGGAGGCAGTCGCCCTCTAGCAACAACGGAGGGCAGAGGAGCGACGCTCACAACAACGAGCGTAGCAGGGACGTGCGGTCAGGGGAGGCAGGGGAGGCAGAGCCTCACCCGTCATACTCCAATGAAAATAGCTGTTACTAAAAGAAAACAAATAATAGGAATATAAATATTAAGATTTTTCCACTGATTTGCGTTACAAATGTCATTTCGGTATGATTCCAATCATTTTTATAGTCAAAATCGACAATTTAGCTGAGCTCCTCTGCAAATGTAGGGAGAGGCGAGGAGGCAGCGACGAGCTCAGCCTCCCCGCTGATTGCGCAACCCCTCAGACACTGGATGGAGCGCGGGCAATAAGCGTGTGCCTGTTACTGTCTCAGTATGTCACCAACGTAATGTTTGTAGACCCCTTCATTGCATGTTCTTGCCTTCCATACTCTCGGTAACTTATTTAACGTACGTGTATAAAGATCGATTTAAAGCTTTCGTGACTGCAGGGATTCATCTTCTTGGTTCTTTCGGTAAAGTCACGTAGAAGGGAAGTAATAAATAATAAAAATAAAAATAAAACATAATAAAATTTAATTTTATTATGTTTTATTTTTATTATTTTATTACTTCCCTTCTACGTGACTTTACCGAAAGAACCAAGAAGGTGTATAAAGATATTTAGGCTCGCTGGTCTCGTCATGAAACAGCAATGAAAAAGCACCAGGGGAGGCAGCTGTCACATCTGCCTCAACGAGGGGGACGTGTCAGACACGCCCCCCTCAGTGAGGACACGCCCCCTCAGTGATGCCACGCCCCTCCGTGAGACCACGCCCCCCTCAGTGTGTGAATCTGGCTCTGACACGAGCCAGTGCCTCCCCAGCCATTGACCTCACCGCACGTCACAATGGACTAATGGAGCATAGCACCGGGCGACTAAAGCACAGCAAGTTGGCACAGGAGGGAGCACAGGTGGTGCATCTGCCAGTTATCTCAGTCAGTCAACCCATGGCACCACCTGGGTCTGTCCCGTGACCTCCTGCCAGCGAGTGTTCGACACTTCATCGCCTGGTACAAGCGCCGTGGTGACGTCACCGCCACTTCGTGACCAATTGTTGTTGTTTTTGTGTTTTATATTCTCCACAGCAACACTAACGGTGCATTATCGATTTAAAGCTTTCGTGACTGCAGGGATTCATCTTCTTGGTTCTTTCAGTAAAGTCACGTAGAAGGGAAATAATAAAATAATAAAAATAAAACATTATAAAATACAATTCTCACGACGTTTCGGCCACAACGCAAGCAGCCGTCCTCAGGTGAAGAACAGGTCTGTCGGAAAGACAGCGTATTTTATAATGTTTTATTTTTATTATTGTATTATTTCCCTTCTACGTGACTTTACCGAAAGAACCACGAAGATGCATTATCGATCATTTATCTTATCGGTTAAGATATTTTGCTCAAAAGTGAACACCTGCCTAGGCTACTTCTCAGCGTGGTTGAGCTTTGAACGACTCCGGTTCTGTTGCCCGAGCTGACAGTTGTTGGGGGAGTGGTGGGTAAGGGGTGGCAGGTTGGGGGGGCAGGGGGTAGTGGGGAGGAGGGGGCATTGTGGCAATAAGCAAGGGCCTACGATTCTCAGTCAATGTCACTCGTACTCTTAGGGTGTTTTCGGTAAAGTCACGCAGGTAAAAATAAATAAATAATATCTTGATACAGTAAATTCAGCTGTGACGGTCTCACCTGATGACGGGGACTTGTGTTGCCTCCGAAACGTCGTGATTTATTATTTTAATTCTATTTTTTTTTACCCACGTGACTTTACCGAAAAAAACCTAAGAGTATGTATCCTTGCAGTCAAGAAAGCTTCAAATCTATAATTAATGTCGCTCGTGTCTCCCTACAAAAACAACAGCAGCGGTGATGGAGGAGGAAGAGGAGCGAAAGAGACATCTCAGCCAGACGGCGGCCGCCACCGAGGCAAAAGCGCAGCAGCGAAAGCAGCGAAAGCAGCTCAAGCAGCTAAAGAGGATCCCGAAGATTACTACACGAGCCTCATGCCCACCGGCCAGAAGGCCTCCGCGGCCCGAGGCATCACGCCGTTGCCCAACCCGCCCAGTGGTCAGGCCCTCACCACCGTGTAAACCACAGGCGGCCTGGGTCACATTTGTATCGGAGCTGGGTCAATTTGTATCGGAGCTGACTGGGTGGCCCCAGAGGTGATGAGGACGCTGAGTGGGAAGCGCTGAGAATCTGGGTTTCAATTCTGGGTTCCAAGCTGCAGGGCCACCAGCGATTACACCAGGATCTCAAAGTGTAGCCCGGTCACCAATGACTCGCACAGTAATCCATAGACTCGGATAGAATCCCATTGACTCACATAGAGACCCCATAGGCGTATATAGAAACCCACAGACTCGCGTTAACCGAGTCGCGATTAAACCGGGATCTCGAGTGCAGCGAGTTGATGGTCTAAGTCTGGTCAGCAATGACTCAGATAACACTGGTCAACAACAACAACAAAAAATTTCTGGCCTGGACTTTTGCAGCTGTTTTATACTAATTTCAGGGTGCTGATTCCAAATATGATCTCAGATTTGCTCTATCACATCTCATTTTTTGCTATTGGCATACCCCATTTTCATTGATTTTACCCGAAATTAACTCTGTCACTTATGATTGCAAGTTGTTGCGAGTCAGTGATTGCTTTAGTGTTAAAATATGGTGCAATATTTGATATCTCAAAAACCTGATGTGATAGACAAAAACTGATGCCAGATTTGGAATCAACACCCCAAAATTACCTTACAACCGTTGGAATACCTGATGCCAGAAAAAGTGTGTTGACCAGTGTAATCATAGACTCTCAGCTGTTATCAAGAATAAAATCACTGCTGATATCATGACCATAATCGCAGCAGTTATCAGGGCTGTAATCTCAGCTGTTGTCCCGGCTATACATTTCGAATCTTCATTTATAAGATCGGTTCTCAATCCGGTCTCCTGTCAATCACTCTGTGACGAACATGTCACTTCCTTGGTCCTCGGAGGAATCGGTAGTTCGTTCCCTGTTGGTCGATGCAAATCAGCAAGTGTGGACTATCCACTGCTGGGCGCCACGGTGGCGAGATGTGAACTACCTCGTCGAGTATACAGGAAGTTCTTCCCTTTATTAATGCTACCCCTATCCCCCTCCCTGTGATGCTGCTAATCCTGCATCATGCACGGGCAAAGTAGCACTAATCACATATCTGCATTTCCCATATCCCCTCCCTTGGATGCTGCTAATCCTGCATAATGCACTTACACAAGTAGTACTAATCACATACCTGCATTTTTCATGGGTATGCTGGATTCCTCTTGATATGCAAATTATTTTGTCAAGGCGCCCCCTTCCCCCCCCCCTTCCAACCTAGCTTATATATATGCTCCAAGCATGTGTGCTGTTTCATTCAGACGCTGTCGCCTCGACAGACCTGGTTTCACCTGAGGACGGCTACTTGCGTTGTGGCCGAAACGTCGTGAGAATTATTTTATTATGTTTTCTTTTTTATTATTTTATTACTTCCCTTCTACGTGACTTTACCGAAAAAAACAAGAAGATTTATAATCAACTTGCACTCAGAGTATTTGACTGCCATACATGATAAGCCACTTCGTTGAGCTATAATTTGTGACCAGTTCGTTTATGAATAAGTATAACCCGTAAAAACAAAGTTTTTCACTCTAAATCCTTTATATGCGTGGCAGCTAGAGTCCTCTCGTCCTCTGGCTTGAGATGGCTGCCACCTATGGGTCAGATGATTGTCTGCATTATTAAACAATTGGTAATTAAATATTTAATTTGTTTTCCCTAAACAGTGTAAAATTTTGGAATTTTTTTTTCGCGAACATTAATTGTCTCGCACAACGAGTCTGTGTGCAAAATGTCAGCTCGATTGGATCACGGGAAGTGGGTTAAAAAACGACCGAAAGGTTTGCACGGTCGTAAGCAAGCAAGCACGCAAGCAAGCGAACTTAATATAAAGGATTTAACAAGTAAACCCGTAAAAGTTTTTCACTCTAAATCCTTTATATGCGTGGCGGCTAGAGTTCTCTCGTCTTCTGGCTTGAGATGGCTGCAATCTATGGGTCAGATGATTGTCTGCCAGTATTAAGCAATTGGTAATTAAATATTTAATTTGTTTTCCCTAAACAGTGCAAAATTTTGGAACAAAATTTTCACGAAAATTAATTGTCACACACAACGAGTCTGTGTGGAAAATGTCAGCTCGATTGGATCACGGGAAGTGGGTTAAAAAACTAGCGAAAGATTTGCACGGTCCTAAGCAAGCAAGCGAACTTAATATAAAGGATTTAAAAATATATTCGCCTGTGGAGGACGCGGGGATCGATCCCGCGACCTTTGGCATGGGAAGCGATGGCGCTACCAACTGCGCTACTCCACCACGGCCTGTGGAGGGGTTACGCTCTGGGCTCTTACACTCGGACGTTCAGCCAAAGCCATGAATGCGTTCTATTTGAATATATGTAAAATAAATTATTTTTGCCTAAAAAGTGTAAAATTTTGGGAATTTTTTTTCACGAACAATAATTGTCTGGCACATCGAGTCTGTGTGGAAAATGTCAGCTCTATTGGATCACGGGAAGTGGGTTAAAAAACGACCGAAAGATTTGCACGGTCCTAAGCAAGCAAGCACGCAAGCACGCGAACTTAATATAAAGGATTTAAAAAATGAACCCGTAAAAACAACGTTTTTCACTATAAATCCTTTATATGCGTGGCGGCTAGAGTCCTCTCGTCCTCTGGCTTGAGATGGCTGCCACTTATGGGTCAGATGATTGCATGCCACCATTAAGCAATTGGTAATTAAATATTATATTTTTGTCCTAAAAAGTGTACAATTTTTGAAAAAAATTTTCACGAAAATTAATTGTCACACACAACGAGTCTGTGTGCAAAATGTCAGCTCGATTGGATCACGGGAAGTGGGTTAAAAAACGACCGAAAGATTTGCACGGTCGTAAGCAAGCAAGCAAGCACGCAAGCACGCAAGCAAGCAAGCAAGCGAACTTAATATAAAGCATTTATAAAAAACGAGCGAAAGATTTTCACGGTCCTCAGCAAGCAAGCGAACTTAATATAAAGGATTAAAAAATATATTCGCCTGTGGAGGACGCGGGGATCGCTCCCGCGACCTTTGGCATGGGAAGCGAGGGCACTACCAACTGCGCTACTCCGCCACGGCCTGGGGAGGGGTTACGCTCTGGGCTCTTACACTCTGACGTTCAGCCAAAGCCATGAATGCGTTCTATTTGAATATATGTAAAATACATTTTTTTTGCCTAAAAGTGTAACATTTTGGGAATTTGTTTTCACGAACAATAATTGTCACGCACAACGAGTCTGTGTGCAAAATGTCAGCTCGATTGGAACACGGGAAGTGGGTTAAAAAACGACCGAGAGGTTTGCACGGTCGTAAGCAAGCAAACAAGCACGCAAGCAAGCGAACTTAATATAAAGGATTTAAAAAAAGCTAATCGCGCAGCGGGTCTTGGTAAAATAAAATAAAAAAAACTGGTTAGTTTTTAGATGAAGGCCTCCTGCGAGGTAGCAACTTATCGACCCAGCACCATCAGCTGCACGGCAGCTGATTCTCCTTCTTCGGGGCGAGCGTCCCTCTCGGACGCGTCCTCACCACTCGGCTCCCGCTCCGTCCTCATTCTCCAAGTCAAAGACGTCAACCCCCACACCTCCCCGTCGATGGATGTGCCCCTGCCATAGGAATGTGTAATTTCCCCCACTGGTTCAGCGCTGGGAACAGGAAACCAGCACCGAATCCTCAATGCTCATTAGTCCAAGAGAAACTCGCTCCGTCTTTCTCGCCACCTTCCTGCCTGCTCCCAGGCAACCAGCCAGCCAGCCAGCGAGTAAAACTTGTTTGTCTAATAGTAGGTTTTTACCCTTTTAACTGGTACAAAACTGACACCTTTATTCAAGGCATCATGTTTGCAATGACCACAACACAAGTAGTCAAAAAAGCAAACAAAAAGAAGCAACTCTGATAAGGATGATAATATGCACTGTCCTTGAAGTTGATTGGCCCACACCCGAGACGGCTTTCTTTAGAGCCTAGTCCCCATTGGTGTAGGGCCAGATGACACCAGAAGGCGTACAACTCAAACACAGTGCAATATCAGAGTATTGAGAGCTCGGGGTAAGCATTTACACTATGAGATCTCTTTTACCAGTGGCAAAATATAATAGTAGGTTTTTACCCTTTTAACTGGTACAAAACTGACACCTTTATTCAAGGCATCATGTTTGCAATGACCACAACACAAGTAGTCAAAAAAGCAAACAAAAAGAAGCAACTCTGATAAGGATGATAATATGCACTGTCCTTGAAGTTGATTGGCCCACACCCGAGACGGCTTTCTTTAGAGCCTAGTCCCCATTGGTGTAGGGCCAGATGACACCAGAAGGCGTACAACTCAAACACAGTGCAATATCAGAGTATTGAGAGCTCGGGGTAAGCATTTACACTATGAGATCTCTTTTACCAGTGGCAAAATATAATAGTAGGTTTTTACCCTTTTAACTGGTACAAAACTGACACTTTTATTCAAGGCATCATGTTTGCAATGACCACAACACAAGTAGTCAAAAAAGCAAACAAAAAGAAGCAACTCTGATAAGGATGATAATATGCACTGTCCTTGAAGTTGATTGGCCCACACCCGAGACGGCTTCCTTTAGAGCCTAGTCCTCATTGGTGTAGGGCCAGATGACACCAGAAGGCGTACAACTCAAACACAGTGCAATATCAGAGTATTGAGAGCTCGGGGTAAGCATTTACACTATGAGATCTCTTTTACCAGTGGAAAAATATAATAGTAGGTTTTTACCCTTTTAACTGGTACAAAACTGACACCTTTATTCAAGGCATCATGTTTGCAATGACCACAACACAAGTATTTTTCGATTTAAAGCTTTCGTGACTGCAGGGATTCATCTTCTTGTTTCTTTCGGTAAAGTCACGTAGAAGGGAAGTAATAAAATAATAAAAATAAAACATAATAAAACAATTCTCACGACGTTTCGGCTACAACGCAAGCAGCCGTCTTCAGGTGAAGAATGAGACACTACCAAACTAGGAGCTTATATATAAGCTGCATTGGGGGTTGAAGAGCGCCTTAACAAAAAGAATGTGCATGTGAAGAGGAATTTAGCATATTCATGGAAAATGCGTAGGCGTTGGGCGGGGGGGTGTCAAAGTCATATTATGCCCATGCATTATGCAGGATCAGCAGCAACCAAGGGGGGTGCAGGGATTAGCAGTAACAAAGGAAAGGAATGTTAATGATATGTAGCTGCAGTTACTCAACAACCACGTAGAAAACTAAAGTATAAACTACATAAAAAACTAAAGTATAAACTGCATCGCACCATCAGTATACTTACTATACTCTATAATAAGCTGAGTTACTAACAGCAAGTAATACATTACAATTCTACCTCGTAAAAATTCTATAATATGCTTCCATCTAAACCTTATTCTCTTACATCACACGAGCATATACCGTACTATATACTGCCATAGATAAACCCAACATTAAATTATATACTGTATTGCTGTAAACCAACCTATATCTTATACATTTAATATAACACTATGATACACATTAGGGTGTGTAGAATAATACATAGTGTTATATTAAATGTATAAGATATAGGTTGGTTTACAGCAATACAGTATATAATTTAATGTTGGGTTTATCTATGGCAGTATATAGTACGGTATATGCTCGTGTGATGTAAGAGAATAAGGTTTAGATGGAAGCATATTATAGAATTTTTACGAGGTAGAATTGTAATGTATTACTTGCTGTTAGTAACTCAGCTTATTATAGAGTATAGTAAGTATACTGATGGTGCGATGCAGTTTATACTTTAGTTTTTTATGTAGTTTATACTTTAGTTTTCTACGTGGTTGTTGAGTAACTGCAGCTACATATCATTAACATTCCTTTCCTTTGTTACTGCTAATCCCTGCACCCCCCTTGGTTGCTGCTGATCCTGCATAATGCATGGGCATAATATGACTTTGACACCCCCCCGCCCAACGCCTACGCATTTTCCATGAATATGCTAAATTCCTCTTCACATGCACATTCTTTTTGTTAAGGCGCTCTTCAACCCCCAATGCAGCTTATATATAAGCTCCTAGTTTGGTAGTGTCTCATTCTTCACCTGAAGACGGCTGCTTGCGTTGTAGCCGAAACGTCGTGAGAATTGTTTTATTATGTTTTATTTTTATTATTTTATTACTTCCCTTCTACGTGACTTTACCGAAAGAAACAAGAAGACAACACAAGTAGTCAAAAAAGCAAACAAAAAGAAGCAACTCTGATAAGGATGATAATATGCACTGTCCTTGAAGTTGATTGGCCCACACCCGAGACGGCTTCCTTTAGAGCCTAGTCCTCATTGGTGTAGGGCCAGATGACACCAGAAGGCGTACAACTCAAACACAGTGCAATATCAGAGTATTGAGAGCTCGGGGTAAGCATTTACACTATGAGATCTCTTTTACCAGTGGAAAAATATAATAGTAGGTTTTTACCCTTTTAACTGGTACAAAACTGACACCTTTATTCAAGGCATCATGTTTGCAATGACCACAACACAAGTAGTCAAAAAAGCAAACAAAAAGAAGCAACTCTGATAAGGATGATAATATGCACTGTCCTTGAAGTTGATTGGCCCACACCCGAGACGGCTTTCTTTAGAGCCTAGTCCCCATTGGTGTAGGGCCAGATGACACCAGAAGGCGTACAACTCAAACACAGTGCAATATCAGAGTATTGAGAGCTCGGGGTAAGCATTTACACTATGAGATCTCTTTTACCAGTGGCAAAATATAATAGTAGGTTTTTACCCTTTTAACTGGTACAAAACTGACACCTTTATGCTTACCCCGAGCTCTCAATACTCTGATATTGCACTGTGTTTGAGTTGTACGCC